ATTATTCAGTCATCAGGCCTTCACCTGTGTCACCTGTATTGTTACCTATGTTTGCTTTACTAATTTAGGCCCCATCTTGTGGTTAAATAAAAACACACCTGGCAAAGAACAAACCAAAAAAATCAAATTCCAGTATCTCCAACAAATTATATCTAAGCTAAATAATACCATGAACTAAGCATGTAAAGAACAACAAATATTCCTTTTTTCCTTACAAGCTTATTTTATCTTTTGCTTACAGATAAACTTTTTAATAAGGCCTATCTTTATGTGTTAAGCTTTGATTTTAATTTTTTGGTTTGTTCTGTTGCCTGGATTGCTGTGTTTTTATGTAACCACAAGATGGCGCCTCAATTAGTAGAGCAAACACAGGTAACAATACAGGTGACACAGATGATGAGCTGATGACTGATTAATGTTATTCTATAGCATGAGTTAAGAGCAGTTGAATATTGCTACCCTAATCTAACTTGTGAAGAGATGAGGACTTTAATCCACTATAAGGAAATGGCTCTTAGAAAATTTGTACCCTATCCTGAACATAATTACTGATTAAAAATAGACATGTTAAAATAACCAGAGATTCCTGAGGACTGTGATAGGTGGAAATGGAATAAAAAAATGACTTTTTTTTTTTTTTAACATTTTTTTACGAGCATAGACACCTTTATTTGACAGTTACGAGACAGGAAATCACGGGAGAGAGAGGGAATGTGACATGCAGCAAAGGTCCTCCGGCCAGGATTCAAACTGGGGTTGGCTGCGTACGTGGCATTATACTTCGCTATGCCATGGCCACCCCACACTAGCTTTGTGTCCCATCATGGCCACCCCAGTAAAAATGTCCTGGATACGCCACTGGCACCAACACTGGGTATTTAAAGCCAAAATGTGATCTTTTTCTACCCCTGTCAGTGGTTTTTGCATCTAAACCGAACCACACATTAACCACAGTTCTGTGTATCCACTTTCATATTAACATAATGTAAAGTATCTGTGGTTTGCAGAGACCTACAGTACAATGCCACCATTTTCTCTGGCCACTGGATTGCCAGTGTCAGTGAGATGTAGCAGCCACAGCTGTATTACCTGGTACAGAGCCAGAGAGTGACCGTATCTGTAGAGAGGACCACTGCTGACGGGCACCACATCCCACGTACTGCTCTCTAGGTTGTAGCTGCAGACAGAGGTAAAACAGAAGGCTGTGAGTCCCTATAAGTAGCACTACAGTGCAGAACTACAGAGGTGTGTAACACAGGTAAGAAATGATAAAAGCACAGGTGGAACAAATAACATTAAAAAGGGCTCGACTCCATTTGGGTGCCTAAATACAGTCAGCCGGCAGACACAATACCGAGAACCTGGACCTGGAGCTAAATGGAATGCAGCCAAATTTAATATTAGTAGTTACACCTGTGTTTGCAGAGTAAATGTCCGCAGTGAGAATGGTCTACAGACGTTTATCACATCAGACAGTTTGACTTGTCTTAGCGGAGCACATTTTGTTAACTATGGTTCAGTTCCATTAAGTTTCCCAGTGAGCCAGCATGCACAACACCAGGGCCATGGAGGTAGCTCACATGAATGAAATGCACTTGTTACTAAAATTTCTAAATTTTCTGTCTACTGTGAATTTCTTAACACTTTTTTGAGTTATGTGAGTAATGTGTTCTCTGAGCGTGATAAGGGACAGACAGACAGACAGCTGCTGAGTCAGACAGGTGCTGCTTACTTGAGGACCATGTGGTAGTTGGAGTAGTTGAAGGAGTAACCTCCCACCACCCACATCAGCCCAGAGTGCACCAGAGCTTGATGGGACGCCCGACCCAGAGACTGAGCCGACGGTTTGACGCTCGGCAGCACCCAGAAGGCCTCAGTGGAGGGGACGGACAGAGAGCAGTCTGGACCTGGGATGACGACAGAGTGGAGAGACACATTTAAACACAGTTAGAAAGTGGCACCATCAAAAAGCACGAGAAGTGATGTGTGAAACATGTTTATGATGATTTATTTTAAAGTTTGCCCCTCAAACCTTCACAAGTAGGTATGTGGTATTTAGAGTTTGGTGTCACTATGTGGAGAAGTTGAAATTTTCTTACTTTGGCGCGCCCCAGTGGAGGTATCAGGTACATACACCAATTTTTCTGTAGGGTCTCATTTCAGGATGTTTGTAGGATGCTTTGTAGTGTTAAAGTAGATTTATGGCTTCATTTTGTTTTTAATTCAATAGGCAAAAATAGCACCAAAAAACAAAACAAAAAGTATTGGTATTTGTGAAAAGTCAGCGCTCACAACCATAGAATCCTTATATTTACTGGACTATGCTTATCTGCCAGTAAGAGGTGGGAGTTCTGCAAAAAGCCACTGTCAAGTCAAGACACGAGTCAAATGCAATATATATTTTCACTGATGAAGCAACAAGTCACCGTTGCAGCACCTTTTGGTCTGCAAAAACAAAGAGGACAGATCTATTCTGAAACAATCATGAGAAAATCTTTGATTTAAACACGTGAAGGTACAGTAAGGTCAGCCAATCCTCTGACATGCTTTCATCAAAAAACAAACTACAAATTGATCTGATAAGACAACAGCAGAGCAATAACATCACCATCATCCTCTCTATGTCAGTTGCAATCTCTGCTCCTTAGCTATGAGGAAGTTAAAGAGGCATCAGGGGGTTCGTAATGTGGTGGGTGGGTCTGATTAATGTCTCAGCAGGTAATGAGACACGAGGAGAAAAAGGAAACACTGCAAACTAGAATCCACTTTTCTTTCTGTGGCTAGTGGGATGAGGAGGGTGGAGGGATAGAAGGACAAATGACAGAACATGCTGTTTTCATTAGAACAAAAACATACTTTTTTTGTCTGTGAAATGGCAGTTGCTATGGCGACCAGCACCTTTATTACCCCCACTGTTTGTGTAGTAGATGGCTGCTCTGAGGCTGTGTGGCTGTCCCCACCTGACACACACATCCATCTGTCTTCACTTTCACCTGATTTTATGAATCACTGGTCACTTGTAAATTTTACACACAAGAGACACGGTGCAGGATCATCTAGGAGCGGTTTGATGAACATGTAAGAGTGAAGATCTCTTACTGTTGATTGCATTTGAATTAATTACTTGAACTACCATGAGTACATTTTCTTCTTCTTACTATAGTAACTCCTTTAAAGCCACTATCAAATCGTTTGTCACTAAAGTTACTATAAATATGTTTAAACTAATATTTTCTCTGTTCGTATATAAGTGAAAGAGTTAATTGAAAAGACAGTGCTTCATAAATTCATTCTGTGGCGAAAATCTGGCTCAATAATGTTGAAGCCGAGCGTCCTGAGTTCACCTAACTGAATAATTAATAAAACAATAAACAGGACGGAAGACAGTGTGACAGCTCCAGCAGCATCCACTGCCCATTTATTTATCTTCACCCCCAAAAACTCACACACACACACACACACACACACACACACACGTACAGACACGAGCCTCCTAAAACAGCAGAATGTCACCCCAAAACGTTTCCTGCAAACGTTTCCAGGATGATTGTGAGTTGCTTTTTATTGTGACTATTTCCTGTGTAAATGTCAGCAATTGTCCTCCAAGAAAACAACCTGGTCCAGCACTGGCCCAAATTCAACATGCCAGGAGAAATAAGTCAGAGCCAGGTCAATTGCACGACTAAGCTGAGACTCCACATGAATGACATCCCAGAATAGGGACAAATAAACTGGCCCAATTCCAGTTGCTGACCCTGACGCCACTGGGTCGGCAGAAATGACCTGGCCCAGCGTCGGCCAACAACAGAAGAAAAGTCGGGCATCCAGTTTCCTGACTCGGCTGAGACTCGAAATGAACAATGCCCCTAACCAGACCAAATAAACTGGCCCGATTCTGGCTGCCAATAGTTCATCAGCCCAAACTCAGCATGCCAGAAGAAAAAAGTCGGGCCACATCTAATTGCTCAACTCGGCTAACACTCTGGATGAATGATGCCCCAGAACCAAACAAAATAAACTGGCCGCGGTTCTGGCAGCTGACACTGTCATCACCGAGCTTTTATCAAAAAATGACCTGGCCCAGCATCGGCACAAACTCAGCACGCCAGAAGAAATAAGATTGGCTGCATGAAGTTGCCCAACTCAACTGAGACTTGGGAGAAATGATGCCCCAGAACCAGGCAAAATAAACTGGCCCAGTTCTGGCGGCCAACACTGCCATCATCACGGCCCAGCATCGGCCCAAACTCGGCATATCAGAAGAAATAAGTCGGGCCACATCCATTTGCCCTACTCAGCTACAACTCACAATACATGATGCCCCAGAACAGGCCAAAAAAACAACGTCCCTATTCCGGCTGCTGACACTGCAACTGCTGGGCTGTTGTCAAAAACAGCTTCGGCCCACATTTGGCACACCTGAGGAAATAAGTCAGGCCCCATCTGGCTGAGACTCTGGATGAATGACACCCAGCCCTAACTCAACATGCCAGAAGAAATAAGCCAGGCTGTATAAAGCTGCCTGACAGAACTGAGACATGAGATGAATGATGCCCCAGAATTCACTGAGAAGTGCTTCCCGTGGTTCAGAGCACTATCTAAAAATCAAAAGTGTTCTAATTTCATGTCATGAATCAATCAGTAAGGATTTTTGCAACATTTTAAATGAGAAATTCAGCATAAATCTCCTCAAAATATACAAGTTTTTCATTGATGCTGTTTTTTGTTTAACTGACGTACAACCAAGTTATTTAGCTCATTGAACATCAAAGATTTACATTTGTGTCTGCAGAAAAAAACTTAAAATACAGTTAATAAATTAATATTTCATGAGAAGAAAGTGGCTTCCCTCATATAAATATGTTTGTACTTGTGCTTACAGCATTAGTCCAGGAGGGGGCAGTGCTTCATCATCTAATCTAACACCACTGGACTGTCTGGTGGGGTTAGATTAAATATAATATTATTAATATTATTCTTACTGAAATTTGTGGGTAAACCAGGCAGAGGACAATCAAACATTGATGTACTGATGTAACAACACACAACTTCATCCATAATGTGATGAAATACTTCGATACATGTGTGTGTTTGGCCGTGAGTCTATTTTTAATGATTCAGACAAATGAGAAAAAGGCATTTTGAAGACTGAATCTGAAGATTATTCATGCAAAACTGCAATATTAATAATGCGACATCAGTATAACTGCCTTTAACAAGTGAGATAATCAGTCTGGACACAGGCAGTATCTGTATATATATGGCCAGTCCTTTTCAGATATGATTAATTTGCATTAAAAAATATGAAGCTATTAGTAAAATAAGTCCTCCACTGTGATGTCAGTCAGACACCAGACCCCATGTGTCATAAAGTTGTTGTGTGTGCTGCTGCGAGAACAAATTATTCACAAAAGAAACATAAAAAACCAAAATAATGAAGCCACATATATTACGTGCCACCAGGCGAGATTTCCCAGGACATCACATCTATTATTTTATGACATAAAACAATATTGAATCAGGCAACACTGTGTTGCATACACAGGAAAGCGGCTGCCGTGGTGCTTTTGTATCTCCGCCTTTTGTCTGTTTCCTTTTCGCTCCCTTCTGTCGTTAATAATGAACAAAACAGGAACATCAAAAAGATCCTCTCCATCATGGGAAACGTGGTATTTGTTCTGAGAATAAATAACTCTGTAATCACTACAAACGAGGCCAATGCCAGAGTAATTATAGGTAGGTGCAACTATGACATATGGACTTAATAAAATGTTGCACATGACAGCACGGCAAGTATTGATTTAGTGATTTAAACAGCGTCTTAATGACTGTATTTCAGTGTGAAGCAGTCCGTCTCTGTCTGATGAAAAATAGTCATTAAATACTCTTGAAACAATATTTATATGTAACATGAACATTTAATAACTAAATCTGGCCCGCTTCAAAGCTTAACATCACTTTTTGACCTGCACATTAATTCTTACTGGGATCATAAACACATTACAGATGACATAATAAATGATCAGACATACTGTAGCACATCAAACACATCTCTTCCTGTCCTTAAATTCCCGCCACCATCCTCCCCCTCTATCCCAATGAAATCTCCTCCAGCTCCAGGCCAACAAGACACATCGCACCACTCTGGCTGAGCTCCAGTTTGTCCATATATCTGCTTCATTTCCCTGATAAAATCCACTTTCCTCTGCCCCATCCTGCCCTCTTACCTTGCCAGCTGTCGTTGCAGACGCAGAGCTTCTCTCCAGTCAGGTCACAGTAGCCGTGGCCCGGGCTGCCACAGTTATCCCTGCAGTATGGGATGTCGCAGGCGTCTCCTTTCCAGTACTCCTCACACTCGCAGTAGACCCGACCCGAGACGGAGTTCGTCGTGCTGCATCTGCCGTGGCCCGAACAGTTGTTGGGACAAGAGTTTATTCTGAGGAGACACAGTCAGACAGGGCGTCACGGCACATCTTCAAGGTTATACACTATCATTGGCACAGGTAGTACTTAATTGTGACTGGAGATAAAGCCACAACTTTGAGATGGAGCTGATGCAGTAGCTGAAAACTAGTTTAGGAAGTTGACATTATACTGACGATATAAAGTTGCCATTGAAAGAAAGGATAAGACATTTAGTTCCACTAATGCACTTTAACAATGGAGTCAATATGAATGAAGTTGTAGTGCTTAACTTACTCGAAAATAATCACCAACTCTGCAGCTCCGCGGAGCTTTTCAGCCTCTTTTAGCTGATCATTTTGGTGTAAGAGCACATTCATGGTACAGTTCAGTCTCAGCACACATTTCTCAATACAGCAGGCAACTGTTTTCAGCAAACAAGCACTGATAAACTCACTGCACAGCACCAAATGGCATTCAGACAAATTTAGAGACAAGCAGGTGAAGTGGAACATCTAGCAGCAGCTCAAGAGCCTGATATTATTCTCAGGAGTTGGTGGAAACCAAGCAGGGCTAAAAGGAGAGTGGATGTTGGACCTTTACAGGACGTCTGCTGAGAATGAAAAGACAAACAGCCATAATATTTCCAAATAATGAACTGTAGTGTATCATGGAGTTTATACTATGGGAAAATGGATCAGCAGCTTTTACTGTCAGAAGAGCCATTTTTGTTGGAAAGAAATTAAAAAAAAACCTGAGCCGCAAAACATATTTCAGTCAGATAATGAAGTCCTTTAGTTGCTGTGCGTCATTAAAAGCAGCACATAATCTACTTATTTATAAGCACTGACAACTTCATTTGCTATTTCATGATTTCAGGGTGGGCACCCTTTGTACTGTAAAGGCATTTAATTTCTTTTAAAAACATGGGAAGAAGGCAACGACCAATAAAAGACAAAGTGACCCAAAAAATTTGCAAGAAATTAGTAAAAGGAAAGAGTAGAAGAGTTTTGATTTAAAATCAACCTTCTGGAAAGAGTACTAAAACTTTTATAATAATTCTTTGACATTATTTAATAATAAAATAATAATAATAATATTAATAATAACAAATATACATTTACCCTATTTTTTTATATATATATATATTTTTAAATTTAATTAGTTACCAAGTTGCTGATTGCTTTTTTTCCATGTTTCTGAAAGAAATCACACCAATTTGCTCAGAGTTCAAAGGTTTAAATACCTGCTAAAGGCGAGTTAAAGGATAACTTCTGTATTTTTCAACCTGGGCCCTATTTCCCCATGTGTATGTGTGCATATGATTCATAGGTACAACTGGTTCAGTATTGAGGGAGGCGGATGCAGCCGGCAGCTGCGAAACAAGCTAAAACGATAATGGGGGCAAATACGTCCCGTATAAGTTTGCGCATTAAAAGTGCTTTTTTTTTGCCACTGACCGGTTCAGATCGTCAGTGCTATCTCTGTAAATAGCATACTAAGCGTTTCCCTGACCCTTCACTTGCTCTGGGCTGTGATGTCATCTCGCGAGAGCTTTGCTTGTTGCCGGAAGAAAGTGCGCCTTGCAGACCATTGGGTCTGCAGTGCTCACTTCTCCCAAGATGACTACTGCCAGCCGAAGAAGAGAAGACATCCAATCCCGAAACACCTCTTCCTCAAGAAAACGGCTGTCCCACGAGTAGAGAGAGCTACAGACACAGCGGAGGGAATGTTATATAAACAATGTTCGAAACGCTTAGTATGCTATTTACAGAGATAGCACTGGCGATATGAACCGGTCAGTGGCGAAAAAAAAGCACTTGTAATGCGCAAACTTATACGGGATGCATTTGCCCCCGTTACCATTTTAGCTCGTTTCGCGGCTGCCGGCTGCATCCGCCTCCCTCAATACTGAACTAATTTTAAAACGAGTTGTACCTATGAATCATACGCACACATACACATGGGGAAATAGGGCCCAGGTTGAAAAATACCGAAGTTATCCTTTAAAGCAGCACAAGAAAAATTATGTCGCTCCAGTTTTCAAAGGGTTAAGTCTAAATTAGTCTATCAGCTTTAAAAATAAGTCAAATGAGCATCCATCACTATGTTTTACCACAAGATGGCAGTGGGCTATTTATGATTATTTACATTTTTAACTTTGCAGCATTGGTGTGAAAGCAAACAAATCTGCCCACACACTATTAAATTCTCTATTTTCCTCAAACGCTTTTACGTTTTGGATTTGGATCTGTGGACAGTGGGGCTGGGGAAGACTCAAGACTGGCCAACACTTGACTGAGGTTCAACAAAATTTAGAGAAAAGGTGTCAAGCTGTAGACAAATGATGCACATTTAAGCCGACAACATATTAAGACATCTCTTTATTCACTGTGGAGGCTAAGCATTTTTACAGTTGGTGATTGTAAGAATCACTGCAGGCTCACAGCAATGATAAATGAAAATTAACCCGATATAAACCATAAATGTGTTTGCAGTCAATTTAACCCGTGGTTAGATTAATTTGACCAGTGAGCAGACGTTGCGCTAGACTTTTTCCTCACCGGCCATTTTGACCGACAGGGTCATAAAAATCAGGTCATAATCTATTTTTACTGGACATTTTAATTTTCGTTTTTAAATGATAATAAAGATATTCAAAGACATTTAGTTTTCATTCGTTCGTTTTTAATAAATCCAACAATCAAGTTATAAAGTGTGCATTAATAAGGACATGAACGAAAAGATGAACAGACATCCACACACCGCAGCGCTTCAGTTTGGCGTCTGGTCTATTTTTCACGCGAGCCGAGCACTTCTGTCAAGCTGGATAGAGCGGATCGTACCAAACAGGAAGTCGGACACAGAAAAGACGAGAGAATCCGGCCAATTTTCAAAATAACAACAGCACGCACTGAGGAACGTGAGGAGAAAATACCATGTTTATAATTTAAAATAACACAACAGTGCATAACCGAACACATTTTTCAATACCATAATCACTTCATTACAACTTTAATTTTGTGTCACCGAGCCTACAGGCATAACTACATAAATAAAATGGTCAGAACAATATGCCCTATTCATTCAGTGTTAATCCAACACGCTCAATACATGGACATGCAATGACAAATTGTCATTAACTTATTACGTTATAAGAAACGATTAAAATATGGCCTTACCTATGTTTAAAATGACCTGTTGAAGTGAAAAAATGAGTACTGACGGGAACAGACGAGTGGAGTCGATGTTTAACCGGCGCGGAGAGCACAGGAGAAATGCGCTGCCTGTGTGGACAGTCAAGCGCCTGCGAGTACATTCATAGGACTTCTGCGGCACTAACTCATCTGGTGTGTCCAGGCCGTTATGTCAACAACGCTACATGAAGCAGATGAATATCCGGTTAACGTGACCCCTGCCAGTGAGGGTCAAATGGCTTCATGATACAAAGCAGAAAGACTTAAATATGGTTCAGTCAGGACCACTTTAGTCAAAGAAAACTTTATTTCCATTTTCAGTATCATATTTGGTGGTATGGCTCTGTTCTGGGGCCTCTCTGCCTTTTCTCAGGCCTACGCAGAAAGCCTGAGGCCGTGAGTGCACACCTCTCTGCCCTTCCATGCACCTACATGGAAAGCTTCAATTGCTTTGCCCCGCCTACTGTTGCTGCTCCCTCTGCAAGCCTTTGCTCCTCCTTTTCTTGTTGTGTCTGACTTATCAATGTCATTTCTGTTTCCTTGTAGGTGCATGGAAGGGCAGAGGGCGCCCTGAATGAGATTTGCCAGTTGGCTGCATAGAAAGCAATTATGTGATCTATCAGCTGACTCCCTTCCATCACTCATCAGTTGATTGGGCTGCTTGAGATCAGCTGCTGTCGCTGGGATGTGAGCTGAGCTTGACACCATGTCCTGCCTGAACTAAAGTTATGTTTAATATTTAAAATTATGGTTAAAACGGTGTCCTTGTGTGTTAACTTCACCCACCAGCCAGTTAATGGTGAAGAAAGTATTTTCCACAGCTGTAGTATAAAAATAAACAATATTTAAATAAGAATAATCTCCAAACCATGCAGCTATACAAAATAATACATTATGTAAAGTTAAAATACTCCTGACATTAATCATTAGTCCCTATTCATCGATAAAATGTAGTAAAGAATGACTGAGCCCATGTTATTACATGAACCACAGAAAAAGAAAAGCACAAACAGCAGATGTGCTGTCGCTCTGAACACAGCTGTTTGTTTGAGACAGATGCACTTCCAATTTTTGCAGACGTCTATCTCTAGTTCCTTTTGAGTCTAAATGCACTTATTGTAAGTGGTTTTGGACAAAAGCGTCTCCCAATTAAATGTAGGAACCACGGAACACGTAAGAGAGAGATGGAACAAGGCAGATATAATTTAAAAGAGAGAAAATAGAGCTACAGCTAGAAGGACACAAAGGAAACAGACTGAAAAGAGACCAACAGAAGCAGGAGCCTAAGTAGAAGGAAAAAAATGACACATAAAAACCAAACTGTGAACAAAAAGCATGAATCCAAACACTACACAGTGTTTCTGTGTAATATCAGAAAACTACAGATGCTAAAGGAGATGGAACGAATGGGGGGAAAAAACTGAGTCAAGGACCAGAGGTAGAAAATCATCTTTTCGTTAATACAAAAAGCTGGTTTGCTGCTGTGACAAGAGGGTCGTCATGACAACCTTTATCCCCCCTCAGTGTGTGTGTGTGTGTGTGTGTGTGTGTGTGCTGAGAGCCTTGAGGCTGAACAGTAACAGTACTCACTCCTCCCATGTGTACAACCGACTGTACCACATATCATTATATTTTCCATCATGGCCATAACTGCTGGCACAAAGCTGTCTGGTTTGTGTCTGTGAGTAAGAGGTGGTAACGTGGTGCAGACTGACATACAGTATGAACTTGGATTTGTGCTGTGACTGAGTTTTGAGTCGGGTTGGAAGGCATAAACCAGTACGACCAAGGCTGCACTCACCAGATAAACATCAGTGGTCACTCTGTCCAAACAGCT